CAACTGTCGAGCTGGTTCCGTGTTTTGCCTATGATGTACAGAACAGCAATGCGCATGGATGTGCAGCTATGGCTGTATACTGATTAGATTCCTTTGGGTATACACCCAAGAGTAGTATACCTGGATAATATAGTAGTTCTAATTTTAGGGTTTTTTTTAACTTCTATATTTATTTCCATAGTAAATGAAGCTGTTAATTCACTTTCCCCACCATATCCTTACTAGCATTTCCTGTTTTTTGCTGCCGGTGGCCATGTCAAAGGAGCAGCAGGTGGGAATTGATTTCAGAGGATCGGTCCACCAACAGGCAAGGCATTTATGGGTGAATCGCAGATAGGCAAGGCCTAGAATATCTCCTGTTACGTTTATGTTCTTACATGGTTTGCCACTGCCATATTTCTCTGGAATCTGGGTTGGTGTAAATGGGTATGGGGAGATCCTCATTGCCTCTGATGTGGTATGATTAGTTCGTGGAAGTATTGCAGTCTAGTGGGCATTTCTACCTGTGGATCATTAAAGTGATTTCCTCCTGTGGTATACTGTTTAGCCAAAGCAATGATTAAATACGATAGTGTTAGTTTAAATAAGACTTTGAGGATTGAGGGTCTTTAATAAATATAGTAAGGGATTTTGATACAGGTTAGTCTAGAGGGAAAATTGGTATGGGTAAAAGCAAGATATGGTGTTGCTCCTTCCCCTGATAAATCAGGGGTGGCAAAGAATAGAAAGTAAGATCAAGGAAATGTCACACAGCTAGTTTCTCTTGAGGAGATATATAGATTGTGCCTTAGGTTAATGATTAAGAAAATCAAACCCTAGCTAGCTCAAGTTCTTTTAATCTTAATTTTTGGGAGATGTATTTACAGGTTTTGGTGTGTATCATAGCTAAAACAAAGCTTTAAAATATGACTTAAGGTTAGATTAAGATGTTTTAGTTAATAGTTTTAGGTTAAAAAAAAAACCCAAGAAGATAATCTATAGCCCATAGTTGAGTGTGAGGGACTCATTAAGGTCAGGGGACAAGAACAAAGCAACCCAATTATTATTAGCTGACATGCTTTCCTTGCTAGGATGGGTTGGTGATCAAAGATGGTGATTAATTCCTTGTACCCATTTTTGCCCTCAGCTTCCTGATTTAAAAAAAAAAAAAAAAAAAACAAAACAAAACAAAACAAAAAAAAACTGTTGATGAATGGGTATTCACCCTAAAGATTTAAAATAGAGATAACGTTATCCATATATAAAAGTTTAGGTTTGTGATTCTTTTAAGATCCCTTAAAATTACTTTTTGAAATAATAAAACGACTGGTCCTTTCTTTGTAACTGCAAAATGTAAACTGCCAGTAAAAGAAATGGCTGAGAAAATACCTTGATTGCTTACACTTTGCTAATCTATAACAAATTGCTTGGACATGAATGTATGTGGTTTCTTGGGATAATTTGTTTTTCATCTATAATACATAGGATGTTTAATCATGTAAGGGAAATGGGAAAGATGTTTTGTTTTTTACCTGTATTCATTATAACAATTCACTTGGAAAATAGAATGTACCCACATTGTAACTTTCATATTGCTTAAAAGATTTTGTTGGGATATATAAGCTATAAAGGAAAAATAAAGGAGGGAGAAAAGAGAGAGAGAGAACAGAGAAATACCCTAAGAGTATATCTGTGTTTTTTTTCCTGGCCCCAGAGAGTTAAGTTTACCCCCCACCCCCATCAGCCCCTAAGAATTAAGTTTTACTCTCTCAGATAGAAAAGTCAAGTTGAGTGGTAGTCCACCAACTCTGCTAGCTTTCCCTCAAACTTTAAGCTTCTGGAGCAATAATTTACTTTCTTGGTGATAGTCATTCTGACTAAAGCAAGATGAAATCTCAAAGAAATTTTAGTTTGCATAGCTAAGAATGTACGAGTTTCCCATATTAGCAGCATATTATTCCAGCACAAATGACTGGGGGTCTAAATGGCAAACATTCTCATGAATGCTACCATTATATAATTCCTCTCCAAAGGTGTATGTTTCCTAGTCTCTTGAACCCTGGTGTTATGAAATTATGAACTGAACTTCTATTAATTTGGAGAAGAGTCACACCTTTCCATGCATCTCAAGGCATATTGGATTTCCCCAGATCAATTTTTTCTTAAGTAACATATGGTTTAACTCTTAGGACCCCTATGATGAGGGATCATAGTCAGAGGTTTCTAGGTGTTTCTGCTCATTCTCTACATCCTTATCAGCATTCTTTGTCCAGTGGCTTTTATGGTGACCATACCTATATTGCTTCTGGTAGGTTATAACATCCACACTTAGTGCACTCCTCAGTCTAGAGTCAAGGGTTGTATTTCAACCACAACTTTTCTTACCATCATGACAGGTGAAAGTCCTTCTCCAATCTTGTTTTCATGGCAAGGGGAAGAGTATATGAAGTACTGCCTAAAAGCCACATGGTAAGAAATTTCAGGATCAAAAAATTTTTAGGAAATGGAAGACAATACTTGGCATCGATGCTAGAAGGACTAGTGGATGAAGGGAGTTGACTCAATTAGGCCTCTGAAAGCTAATAGGCACATCAACAGCAGTCTGGTCAAGTTCCACACCTATCCACAGGACTCTGAGAAAAACTGAACATGTGTAAAAGGAAGGGATTGCAGTCAACCATAAGATGTTCTTGAGAGAAGCCTGGGACATTTAAGAAGGCTGGAGATCTTGGCTACCACTGGAGGCAGGGGACAGAGAAATGGGAATTTATTACAAGCTTAATCCATACCTCTATTCTCCACAAAGTTGTAGCATCCTGCCTTTAAGATCTGGCCCTCTCTCTAGCAGTGGGACCAGGACCTGTCCCTGATGCATGAGCTGGTTCTTTGGTACCTATTCCCTATGGTGGGATGTGTCTGTTCAGCCTTGATGCAGGGGGAGGAGCTTGGTCCTGCCTTAAATTGATACTCCATACTTTGTTGATTCCCATTTGGAGACTGAGGGGGGAGTGGATGGACTGGGGTAGAAGGGAGGCAGGGAGATGGAACACGATGGGGGAAAACTATGCTTCGTATGTAAATTAATTTTTGAAAAATGATAATAAAAATAAATAAAAATCTTTAAAGAAAGGATCTGGCCCTCCAGGGAGTCTTCCCTAAACACTTCACTTTTATCATATTTTCTCTTTTATGAAAAATGTCCTTCCTATACTAAATGTTGTCTCCTTGTGCCACTCAGGTTCCCAACAGGAAACAATTGACATGTTCAAATTGGGCAATTTAAGGAAAATTTACAAGAATATAGCCGGCAAATGGGAGAATATATTCCTTTAAGGTACTGGATTGAATGCTAGTCTTGAGTAAACAAACAAACAAATAAAAAACAAAAGGAGGTTAAAAGGAGCTCTGTACCCAGGAAGTTATGACCTATAGGGTTGACTAATAAACAGAATCTTCTTTGCCTCCCTATTCATTTTCAGTTCTTCCAGTCCAAGAAGCTGTTGGTTGCAGTGTTAGATTTCAGAATATGAAATAGACCACACTTATTAGAAGCTACAGTCACATATACTGGCAAGTCTAAGCTCTATCCACCCTCAAACAGTAGAACATAGAATGGGGGTGAGCTTCATAGACGCCCACGCCTTTTTCTTTGGCAGCCTCTATCCACACATGTTTTCAGCATACTTATTATTTTAGCTTCCTATTAGACCTCTTAAAAGAAAATATGAATTTTGGTGTAAGCAGAGGTAGTAGATTTTATAGGTCTTGAGCTATAATCAGCTTTACCAAAACCCTTCCTCAGAGGAATGTAGAAATTGGCCCAGATAATAAACAAGAATTTCCTGTCTTCCGTCACTCTTTCCTGATGTCACTACATCACACAATTCCTGGGGATGTAAATAACACGTTCTAGTGTTTTGCAACACAGGTGAACAAGACAGATATAGGCATTCTGTAGTTTCTTTTAATATCATCAAAAGCCCACCTTTCCTGGCACATGAGCACACTCTCCGCTTGGGGCTGGCTGTGCCCAATGCATTGTCATTAGTTGGTGCCCTCTAGTGTTATCTTCTACTACAACTGTAGTGGAAAGGGACACTGACAAGGAAAGAGCTTGATCTGAGGAGGGTTGAAGACAATTTGTCAGCATCTCTAATTGAGCTTCGGAACTGCTGTGGCTTCTCCATCTGAGACCCCAGCCCACCTGGCCCCAACTTTTCTGTGCCCACATGTCTGTCTATCCATATTTGACTCACTTCCTAACTTACCTCCTTGGGTAATTCTGGGGTCTCTGGCTCATCTTCTATGTGTTGTCATATCTTCTTGATGCATAAAGTTGGGTATTTTATCCTCCTGAAATACACTCTTATAGTTTTGGTTCTGAGCCTAGCCTTTAAGGGCTGAGGCATCTCTCCAGCCTCTGAAATACACTCTTCATTAGCCTCTCTGACCTTCTTTACAAAGCTTAAGATCCTTGGATTGAAATTCATGGCTCATCCCGATCTCTTCATCCCATACATATTTCTGTCCTCTCATTATGTGCCCTCACCCTCTTCCCATTGAATTGAGTGAGTATTCTACAAATCCTTGTTTAAATCTTTCCAAATCCTTCCTATTCTGCACAGACCTGTTCAGATGCCCCTTCTTCCATGAAGTCATCCCTTACTCAAGTTACAACCAAAAATGTCCCTTTCTGACCTAGGCATAGCACCAAGTGCCTACCCCTTCACATAGATTCCTTTGTTCCTATCTTATTTATCCTACTCGGCTGAGGTCTTTTGAGGTAAGATTGATGTTTTTTGTTCTTACATACTTGATTTCTCACTTAACCCAAAGCAATTTTCCTTTTCTTTTTTACATCCCATCCCTGGAGGTGTTAGGTGAGCAGCTAACAGATTATGTCACATTGTCAACATATTCTTGAGAAAATGACAAACGGTTGCAATAACTTTCCTTGAACAAACATGTAGTTACTCCAGATAAGGACCAAATGATAGACCAAAGCAATGATTCCACCAGAGTTCAAATTGGCAAACCAGTGAGTTTATTGAGCCTACTTACAGAGCATTATTGAGAGGATGCGTAAAAGAGTGAGAGTTATTCCAAACAGCTACATAATCACAAAGTTTTGTTCCATCATGGATCATGACCTCATGGAACTTCATTCTTATATATCATTAGCATCTCCCAAGATCATGTGCAAGTTGAGGCAGAAGAGAGTAATGGTTGGAATCCAAGATGAGGGTTCTGTGACTATAGATCCCTTCCTACTATGGAGTATCAGTAGCCTCAATAGCATCACTATTGAGCGATCTACTTAAAAATAATTATGAAATGATCATGTTTTACCCAGAAAAAGTGCCATACTACAAATACAAATTGAGAAAAATCATAGAACTTACTCCCTCAAGAAGCTATAAACAGGGAAAAGAAAAGGAGTGAGAAAAAGTGACCTGAACCATGTCTTCTATTTTTCTTCCTCACTCATTTTTGTGTCTCTCACTGCTTCTAGCTCAAGATATTAAATACAGACACTCAAGAAAAGCTCAACTGAATAAAACTGATAGACTAGAAGTTCCTACTACACTAATGGGTTTCAGATGGGCTAGCATATCTTATAGGCTGACCATAATTGCAGATAACCTTATCACAGACATCTAAAGGGCTCAGTTTCAGTTGTCAAGTCTCTGAAAGCATCATAGTTATAACAGTTCTAAAAGTGTAGTCATGTGACAAGTATCATGGCCATCACCTGGGAACCTGTTGTTCATGCTCAGGTCTCTCTTCAAACATGAATCATAATCTCTGGGGTGGTGTTATGAGGATATATCTGAAACCCGAGAGCACCTACTGATATTTCTAGGGTCTTGGGTATCAGAATAATGAATCTGACCAGAAACATATTGATAACGATAGAAATAGAGGTAGTTTATTAAGAAAGATAAAAAGATATTCTTGAGATTCATAGAAGGGGGATAATATCTGAAAAAGACAGACACTCAAAAACATTGTACTATATGAATTCTGATCATTCTTAGGTTATTTATATAGCACCAGTTTCTTCTGTGTGATATTGGCTTTCCTTGTATGTGCTCTTTTTAGTAAGTAAGGCCAGGTAGGAAAGGATTTTTCTTCCAACTTATCTGTCATTCTTGATACCTATCTCTAAATCTCTACTCTTCTTCTATAATAAGAGTCATCTATCCATGGGTCAGCACACCCTCCAACTACTTATAATGTCAAATTTAAGAAGAATTGAACTAGAGTAGTACATCTGGACTCCTCAATACATATGGCCCCAATGTGAAATTGGCATTTAGGAGGACAATGTGTTCCTTTTAGTCACTAGCAGGAAATGTGATAACTTGACATGAATAGGAACTCATTTGACTTTTAAGAATAATTAAACAAGATATGACAGCCAGTCTCCTGCAACAGTAATTGTCCATACACAAATAATAATAATAATTAAGAAGAAAAAGTCATTCATCAAGAGAAAAAGAAACTACTTAGGAAATTAAGTAAATGAATTTTGTGAAACATTTCACTAATATCAAGTGATGGCTGAAAAAGAAGCTTAAAATATTTTTTAAAAAATACTTGTGCTGAATATTTAACATTTAATATTTAACATTTAAGTGAATTAAAATACATGTAACTCTTCAAAGACTCAAGAATAGCTATTGTTTTTCGTGTTTGATGAATTATCAACTGATCAGCAAATGACTTCTGATAGTACATGAAGATGTACTGAAGGTCTATGTGTGTTTTAAGGTCTTTAAGATCATCAGTGCTTCATGAAAAGTACAAATGACTGACCTAGGGGTCATTGTGATTGACTTTATGTGTTTGCTTCATCTTCCATTTCATATAACGTGGGCAAGTTTTCTCTGCCCAACTAAAACGCCACAGAGATTTCTTGTTCCCCAGTTGATGGGGAGACAGAACTGGTTCTTTCCATTTTCTCACCAGGAAAGAATGGAATATATTTTCCTAGGTAGATTGCCACATGTCTGTTGAAAAAGAGCCGAAGGTGTTTCCGGAACCTCTCACCAACAAAGGCATAGATGATTGGGTTGATACAGCAGTGGGTGTAGGCAATCACCTCAGTCACCTGCATGGCCAGGTCCAGGTGTTTGCTCTGTTGACAGCTGTTCTCTAAAAATGTGCTGTGAAAAGCAGAGAGAAGGAGAACCAGGTTGTATGGGGTCCAAAAAATAAAAAAGACTATCATGACAACAAAAATAAGCCGAATTGCCTTGTACTTTTTTTTGTTGGGGCATCTCAGCAGAGTTTTAATGATTCCTGAGTAGCAGATAACCATAATGAGTAGAGGGAGAGCTAAACCAAAGATATTCATTCTCAGAGCATGGAAATGCTTCCAGCTGTCTTCTTCACCTTCTGGGTAATGAGGACCACAGAAATGTTCTCCAAAGATGTCTTGGGACTCATGGAAGATAAATTCAGGGAATGCTGCCAAACCTGCCAGTCCCCAAGTGATGATGCTGGTGATGGTAGCAAAAGTCACAGTCCGAGCTCTAAGAGCAAACACAGCATGGACAATGGCCAGGTACCTGTCAATTGTCAGCAGGATGATGAAAAAGATTTCGCTGTACAAGGCAAGGTAATAAAACCCTGTGATTAGTTTACACATGTGATGGCCAAAACCCCACTCATTCCACATAACATAGTGAATCCAGAATGGAACAGTGAAGAGAAAGAGGAGGTCAGAAATCGCCAAGTTGAGCAAGTAGATATTAGTCATAATTCGGAGCTTCCTATACTTTATGAGGATCAACAAAACCACAGTGTTGCCCAGGAGGCCAATGATAAACACCAGGGAGTACAGTGGAGGCAGGAGCCATGACCCCAGCTCTTTGATGCTGACTTTTTCACAGGGTGTTGCCCACTCATATTCATAGGGTGTGGTCCCAAAGCTTTCAACCACAGCCTTGGTTTCATCTATGCGGAATGCCATTCCTATTGTCTCTGTAATAGAAAAAAATAACTGTGTGAAACATACCAGTTGGTTATTCATTGAAGAAACTCAAGTTAGAATTGGTTTAGTTACACATTTCAAAAGATATATCTGAAATACTCATAGTAAGGATCAGGAGACAAAACTACAGTTCTCAAAGTCATCATGATTCACAATAGAAAAAGAAACAGAAATGCTGTGTCTGGTGGTAAAACAAAAAAAGGTGGGGATATTAATTTCTGAAAGTAATTGAAGGAGGAAATTCAAAGTTTTGAACTGATGAGTGAAAAGAATAATAATGATGATATGATCCATTCATAAATGTAATTATTACTACTGCATATTTTAACACATTTTAGAGTTTTTATTTTACATAGTATGACTTTCAAAATCATTATCTTCATATAAAATTGCAAAATGTTTATGGTACTAGTAATGATAACCATCTTTCTGAGGCCCTTTGGTTAACATGCCCAAAATACTTAATAGGGAAACTGATGCTTACTGAAACAATAATTTAACTGAGATTTTCTAATAGGTAAGTATAAAAGTTTGATAGGGCTTTAGTTTCCTCTCTCTTTTTCTCACTCTCTTTTCTTTCTCTCTCTCTCTCTACATATATATGTGTGTGTGTGTACATATTATATATATATTGTATATATAAAATCGTCTTGTCAGTAATATAAATATAGCCATTTTAAATTTATCTATTGATGATTTAGCTGTTACTATGATTATTGAGATCGAAATAGGTACAATTTTAAGCATTATTTTCTTTGGTGACTTTCCTTTTCTCTAGCGCTTGGTAGTGTTAAGGTAAGCAATGGTATTCTAAGAGCTTCTCTTTCTCTAAAGAGATGATGAACTAGAGGCTATGGGAAGACAATTTTCTAAAACAACTTATTTTTTAGATCAGGAAATGGAGGACCAGTGCCTGCTTTCCTACAGACTAATGACTCCAGAAGAAAAGATAGAAAAGCAGACAAGGCAGAAATCTCACGGACAGTAAATCCATACTCTGCTTACTCAAAGAGAGGCCCATTAACCTTCTCCTGGCTAAGAGGCAAGTATGAGGACATGAATAAGTTGAGTTGGCCACCTAACTTACTTCTCTGAGGATGGTTTGGACAGGCTGTCTTCCAATATCTCTCCTGCTTATTAGGTACACAGTGGTTTGGCCCCAGATATACTGATAGCTGATGGTTCTCACACTGGGAGACAAGAACACTCACTAAGAAAGACCTCTTCCTTAATTGGGTGTTACCTGGAATACTCAAAAGCAAACCGCCATAGAAGCAACTTGAGTTTTTATTGTTTCCTGTCCAGTCATATCTGTGTTTGAAGCCTCAAAGACAGGTCTTTCAGTTGAAAAGGGACAGAAACTGAACTAGACATGTTTTTTAGTATCTCCAGAAATCAGGGACACACTGAGAAATTCCAGTGCCTTTTGAAGATGTTGTTTAACTGTTTAAACCCATAGTTTCATCATATATTCTTATTAATTATTTTTAGAGCAAACTATTATCGTATAAAATTAATTTATGTTAAAATTAATTTATTTTTACTCTGTAAATAAATGTTCTCATCTAAAATATATTCTTTTTTTTAATCTATTTATTATGTATACAATGTTCTAGAGGGCGCCAGATCTTATTATAGATGGTTGTGAGCCATCATGTGGTTGCTGGGAATTGAACTCAGGACCTCTGGAATAGCAGCCAATGCTCTTAACTACTGAGCCATCTCTCCAGCCCTGACTACCTAGTTTGTTAAAGATGCTTGAAAACCATCCAATCTAAACAAAATGGTCTTCCTCCAAGAAAATAGTAGCTCTGGCTTTCCTTTTATTTCTTAGAAACAAGATGCAAATCCTTCATGTGAAAAGACTATTATGTACCTAAAGATTTTAATATTTTTTTACTCAAGACTGGGAGATTAAGGAGCTCTACAAAATTATTGAGTTCTGTGATCATTTAAGAAATGTGATCAGTTGGCGATAAAATCAGTTGTGTATATCTACAAACGTGCCCTGTGTCATATTAAAAATTAGAATAGTTAAAAGTATATGCAGTAGTGAGTTTCCTCATTTTTCTTGAAATGAAAGTAAGTAAAGGTTAAGAATAGAATTCAGGGCATAGATCATAAGAACTCTACCACCGAGCTGCATCCTTAGCCAAGATGAATAATGAATAATTATAATTCATATTATTAACTAGAACTCCAAAAATAATAATAGAAACGGGTTTGTACATGTGTCAGGAAGATAAGGTACATTGCGGGTAAGATAAATGGTGCAGTTGAGGGTATGCTTTTGTGGAGAAAATGAACCATCTTATTCTTGAAAATTATTTCAAAATGAAGAGTAAAGAGGATAAAAACTGTATAAACATAAATGGGGGCAAGGAGGGGATGAGAAAATGAGATAGAGACAGGAGGGAGCAGAGACAGGGACTCATGACTAAATTGCCTAAAATTGATATTAGGAAACTTTATATTTTAATATCAAACTAGATTTTGGTCCTTTTCTTCCCTTCTGTCCTTTAAAACTTGTCTATATCTATTTATCTATGTATATATGTAGTCTGCTCTCAAATTGTATTTTTTTTGTTTTTGTTTTTTCAAGACAGGGTTTCTCTGTGTAGCTCTGGCTGTCCTGGAACTCACTCTGTAGACGAGGCTGGCCTGAAACTCACAGAAATCCACCTGCCTCTGCCTTTGTCTCTTGAGTGCTGGGATTAAAGGCATGCATGCACCATTGCTGCCTGGCTCAAAAGATATTTTTAAAAGGCTTACTTTTTCTTTACTTTATAAACTTTATTGTAAAAAGCTTGCAAATAAATATCACACACCAAAATTAGCCTGATCCACAGTCTGTACATCTCAATAAACTCCTATGTGGTTAGAACAGCCATTCTGAGTTTCTTAAGTTTCTTCTTTGTTCTTTAAAAGGAAAGACTATGTCTCATCAAAATTATTTTCTGTCTCATGTTGATTTTCTCAATGCCTTTGGTTTTTAAGAAATTAAAATCATCTCTGCTGTAAAAGATAAGTCTTTTTCACCTACATAACTTCATAGATTTGTTTTGGAATTTTCAATTGTCATTTGAGTTAGATAGATGACTAAATGTTGCTTTGGTGACCTGTATCCTATCCAGTTGAGTGTTATAAATCTCTCTCAAAGAGTAGTTAATTCATCTTGAGTGACTTGGCTTCATGCACCTGCCAAGGACTTTTTACCAACCTCCTTACTTAAAGATTAAAGTTGGCCATTGTCTTTTAAAAGCAGATGTTTCAAATATAGCTGATAGCTTTAAATAAAAACTGATGTTATTTAGGTGAGCAAGATGGTCATGAAGAATATATTTTCACAGGGAAAATTTATCTGTGCTGCCAAAGTAACATGATCAGCATGATCAAACATTACTAGTTACTAATAAACATACTAAAAAAACACTGTATATGCCTCTCGTATGTGGTATGCACATTATAATCAGCAGCACACATGATGTTGCCTTCTGTTACTTAGATTCATGTGGTTTAAAATGATTTGAAATATAATTTGTAATGGTGTCAACATATTGGGTAAGCTTTCATTATTATTGAATCATCTTATTGCTGAATAAAATTGTTCACAGTTTGCCCTTTTATAAATAATACAGCAATAAATATCTCTGTCTGTGTCTTAAAACTTATTTCCCTAAACTTTTTATCCCAAATTGTTCAATTTGCCCTTTTATAAATAATACAGCAATAAATATCTCTGTCTGTGTCTTAAAACTTATTTCCCTAAACTTTTTATCACAAGGCACATTTTCAAACTCTAACAATATTTCCAAACCTCTTGATGCATTTTGCCAAATTGCTTCCAGGAAATGCATAACTATTATAAATTCATAGCACTGTAGATGATGTTGCCAGTTTTAGAAAGCATCCATCAACATGAAAAATAACTATAATAATTTGCTGGGCCAATTAAGTGGATATAGGGTTGTCTTGTTGTTGTAATTACCATTCCACTAATTACTGAGGGATTTTTGAAATTGTAATTATTAATCACCATATTTCCTTTTCTGTGCATTGACTACTCTTAATTTGTTCTGCTGAGCATATTTGCTCCTTTCTTGTTGAGTCATAGTGTACTCACATTTCTTATGCCAGGAGAAATTACTCAGTGACAGGTTTCAGTGTAATCATTACCATCTTCTAAAAGGGGTTAGACGATCCTCTAGAAATGGTTCTCAGCCTTCCTAATGCTGCAGCTCTTTAACACGGTTCCTCCTGTTGAGACCCAAACCATAAGATTATTTTGTTGCTATTTCATAACTGTAATTTTGCTACTTTATGCATGTAAATATATTTAAATATATACCAATATTGTTGTAATATAAATATCTAATATCCAGGATATCTGATATGCAATCCCCAAAGGGGTTGCAACCCACAGGCTGAGAACCACTGTTCTAGCCCCAACCTACTTGTATACTGAAAGTTACCACCCTCTCTCAAAGAACTCACCAAAACCATTTAACTTCCAACCCTGCCAAATTAGGGTTTTTCAAAAGGTTAAATGGGATTGCTCTGCCTCTACCCTCTTATAGAGATCTACCAAATACAGCCAGCCAACCTAATCTACACATACAAGAAGACCAAGGCAATCATCAACCAGTCCATTTGTAGCCTGGCTTAGAATGAATTTCCAATGAAAACTGTAACTGTGCATTTAAACACACAATTACTCACTATATTCACAAACACATGAATATATTTACATGCTAATGCACATGTGCACACACACAATAGATTACATTTTTATGATGATCTTCAAAAGTCAGTATCAGTAAACACTGAGTACCAGGTGTAACACTTTGGGAATGGTGCTGTTCTCCATGGTTTGTGATTTATAAGGAGCATAGGCTGGTTACAAATAATGTAGCTTGGGTAGTCATAAAGTTCATGTTCAGATGAAAGGTAAGTGTATAGTGGGAGATGGAAGGATAGGAAAGGGCAAAAGCAAGAAGAAAATGGAAATATATTGCAAAATATTTTCCTACTCTACCTCATGTTACCTTTAAACCCCTACACACCACCACCTCCTTGGAAGCAAGAGGGCTCCTGGAACCTATTTCTTCCACCTACCTGGACTAATATATTCATTTCCGCCCCCCTCCACCAGAGCTCTGACAGCCTATATGAAAATATCTCCTAATGAAACATCTATTTAATTTCAATATTTCTTTCCCAGAAAAGAACAAAAAGCGGAAACGATACCTGGTGATTTTTGTTAAGCCCTTTATGAGTCCAGAAGTAGCTTAGGTCCCACTGACGATAAAACGGAGATAACATTTGATCATATACACCAGTCAGGTAGTAAACAACACAGCTTCCTGTTTTAAATGGGCTAGCTTCTCGGGTTTTGCAAGTTTTCAGAAAGATATCAACTTGCTACAGTTCTCCCTTTTGTTATTTACTGCACATACTCAGTTCTCAGTTGAGGTATCTGGGGATGGATTCTGCTGACACACAACAGCTATCTTGCAGGCTCTTTACCCATTTGGCACTGTTCATTTTTGATGTGATGTGGGGGTAACAACTTCTCGGCAATTATTGCTTCGACCCGTGGACGGATCTGGCAGGAGAACAACATGGGAAATTCCCCTTAAGGGAAATATAAAAACAGCAAATTTGTTGGGAGCGATCGAAGAGGATGAGGTCAAGCACATCAGTAAAAGTTTTGACAAGTCATGAAGGCATGAGTTTGCATTTCAGCCATGGTGCCATAGTTGCATGACCTCAGGGTAATCACTGAGCCAGCCTTGCTGGACTCCAGTTTTCTCCTCAATAATTACAACAGGAATTTATTTCCTAAAACTGTTATGAAGTCAATTAAGATAAACCTGGAAAGTTTCTTTGTAGTGCAGTATGGCCACCTGAGCAATGTCAGGTATAATGCGCCTTAAATCCAATCAGAGAGTGGTTGATTACTCACAAAATGTTTGTGCTGAAACACAAACGCTGAAAAAAAAAACTCACAGGGTGAAAACAATAAAAATATATTACATAAATGTATGAAAATGTCAAAATGAAACTCGGGTATAATTAATACATATGTCTTAATTATTGCTCTTTTTTTTTTTTGTGAAGAGACACCATGACCAAGGCAGCTTATAAAAGAAAACATTTGATTGGGAGCTTGCTAATCCTCCTCAAATAGTGCTATTCCCTTATAGCTATTCATTCAAATATATGAGCCTATGGTAGACATTCTTATTCAAAACTTTTTCACTCTCTTTCTTCCTCAGTCTTCATCTCTGTCTTTTCTTTCCTTCCTTTCATTTTTCTTTTACTTTATTGTGATTTCTTTTAAACCGAGTCTCATTACATATGCTAGGCTATCCTTGAGTTTCTGATCCTCTTTTATTTTTATTTTAAAAATAAAAAGTAAATTGAGAATACATCAACAGTAACCCAGGAGTAGACTCACTATGCACTTCACATGTAAACAAGGAAAATGCAAATAAAACTCAGTTGCTAAGCACAGTAAAGGCAATTGTTGATCATTAGCAGAAAGATTAAGTCTATGAGAAAGTGGAAGTTGGGTTAGTGAAGATAAATATCTACACATGGTTCTTGATGAAAATGTGTGGATTACAGAGCCAGAACGTAATTCTGAGTAGTACGTTATAGCCCTGGAAGATCTTGCATCAGTCTCACAGATGACAAGAAGCTCTTTACCTTTGAGGATGTAGCTTCTCCAATGATAAAACCAAGGATCCATTACTATGTTTACTCCTTTAAGATACAAGCATTAGCTTCATACCTGGCACCAGTTCAAACCTCCATCCACGAACCATGATATTGTCTAAGATGGTCTTTCTAAACGTGTATGTCATGGGCCCATGAAATTTAAAGGAGAGTTTTCTTATATACTATTGAGGGAAATTAACCTTGTGGAGATACAAGATGTATTTAAAGCTCCTAAGAAGTCCTGTAGTAATAAACCTGTTTAAAACTTGGAGGGAAAATATGTTAATATCAAACAACTTGCAACATCACTCAAGACCAGGCTTCCTAGAAGCCTCTGATAACCAGCCCATACAAAGTGCTTTGGTCCTATAACCTCACTTTGTTAGAAATCTCCCTAGAAGTTCCTGGGTTAGTAACAATGACCCTGCTGGCTCTGTAAGTATAAGGAAAAAGCGATTCAGAGACTTAGTAACTGCCATGGAGAGAGAAGGGCTGGTTCCCTTTTCTGCTCTGTTTTATTATAGCCAGGTGGTGTCTGCCATCCTTCAGCTAAAGATGGCCTCAAACCCAAAGGGAAGCAGAACCCAACATTTCTATCTGAAACTGAGAGTAGTTTGTACTCTCTAGGCTCTTTCTAAACCGGGCAAAGTATTTGAGGCACTTATTTTGGAGTTGTATGTGTAGGACTCTTAACTCATAGGGAAATTTGAGGCAAATGGGAAATCCTGAACAAAATCTTTATACTCTCTAACCTTCCAATTGTCTGTGGCACTTTACACTAAAGCAGAAACATCTCTGGAGAGAGAGAGAAAAAAACCCAAATCACAACACCATAAAAGACATATTAGGTTTGTAGAAGAATATAAAGAGAAAGCAAACCTTTCTTGTGGATCTGGTGGTGTATACATGTAATCCCAGCATGGCTTTGAGGTTAACCTAGGCTATATTGAGACCCTTTGGAACTATGAAAAAGCCAGAATTCTCTTGCAGGAGAACTAAGTTCAAGCTGTAACTTTGAGCATGTGAAAGTAAGTAATTGCTAACGCATCAGGGAGAGAAATAGAGCAGGGAGAAGTGAATTCTTCCTTTGCTTACATCCATTTATTTTTTGTCACACAGCCCCACAGTGAAGAGTCTTGTGTCTACTTGAGACAGAAAATGTCAGACTCCAGTCAAGATTTCTGCTTACTATCATTTCCCCCCAAAAAAGCAGTAAAAAATTTATGCAGATACTCTTAAGCTTCCCAGTAGTGATTGAATATATTTCTGTGTCCCCCTGTGCAAAGCATTCCAGTCTCTATGATGCCCAAACAATGGCAGCAAGTTTTGCCAAAATAAAACCAAAAACAAACAAACAAACAAACAAAAAACACTTTCCCACAGTAGGCCACTCTGCAAAAAAGACTAAGAATGTGGAAGTTATGCTAGTATTTAGGGAAGCTGTGTACTATTTATGAGCTTATGATTTGATGATAGTCCCATGCCTGTGCCTACTAGTAACTAAGCATGGAGGGGATATTCAGTAGCATTGTTTGAACAGAAAGTGTTCACAAAATAAGCTGCATATTAAAAACCGAGTCTGCAATACAATGTTTAGAGGCAGGGCTTTATAAGGAGGTGATTAGATCATGGGGGCACTCACATAATTAATGGATTAATCTATGAATAGATTCACAATATAAGGACCACATAGGTTTGGGAGTTTATTTGATTTGGAGTATGTTTTGCACCCACCCTCAAGACTAGTCTAGGAGCTTCAGAGATACGTCAAAGTTTCTGCTCTGGGAAAATAGTGAATAAGATTTTAAATGTAATAAGGTGGTTGCTCTGAAATACAAAAGTAAAGAGCCAATGTGAAAGCTTATGGAAAAGGGTATCAGTCTTGAATCCCATGGGTGATAATGGGTTCAATCTAAGGAACTACACAGTGACCAGAATAGATGAAGGCCTGAAGAAGGGGCTTACTGCCATAATACAGGAGATGTTGCCCAGTAAGCCTGTGAGGTAAGTGCATTTGTTTTTTACAACTTATCAGAAGAGGAACTGAGGCAAACTGTTACCCAACAAGCCAACAATTACACACCAAGGAAGGACTGGGTCTCCGCTTGGAACAGTTCTGTCTGTCATATTCCAGTCCTAAGCTTCTAACTGCCACATCTCAATGCAACTCTGAGTGCATACCCGGAGCAAGGGTGGATGTGCAAATGGCATGTGGCTATCTATGTATGAGAGAGTGTTCTATGGGCACCCAGATTTCCAATGTCCCAAGACTAAGTCCCAGACAATTATTTTAAGTCAGAGCATCTTCGTTTTAATTCTACACTTATCTTTTTAAAAATGAATAAAGTTTACATATGATGACTTAATCATTAACCTAAGCCACGGACTACACAGTTCCTCAAGAGAAAATAGCTGTTTAGCACTTCCTTGTTCTCATTTTCTAGCTTCTGCAGCCCCTGCTTTACCAGTGGTGAAAGCAACAATATATCCTTCCTTTCCCTGTATTAACTTTTCCACTAAACTAACTGTTATCA